CTTATAGTACATGTCCAAGATATCTCACCTATTATTGTTAGTTTCCATCAGCAAACTTCCTTATAGTACATGTCCAGGATATCTCACCTCTTATTGTTGGTTTCCATCAGCAGACTACCTCCACGTACTATATGTCCAAGATATCTCACTTGTGTTATTGTTGGTTTCCATCAGCAAACTACCTCCACGTACTATATGTCCAGGATATCTCACTTGTGTTATTGTTGGTATCATAACATCTCCTTGTACTTCTTGCCCAAGAAATCTCAGTTATTTACTCTGTACGACTTGCAATGATTACCTGTCCTGTTCACATGATCTAAATACTATTTCATCAGTCATTCTTTCAGTACATTTAACCTGTATCATCCTTCTTACAAACTATGCTTCTACTGCCTTCACACAGTCTAACTGTGCATGTCTCTGTAGCATATTACCACATACAGCATTCTGTAACTAGACTCAAAGGTTATCATTTTATTTATGAGATAAATCTCCAGGCAGTTAAAGGAACTTTCAGAAATTTGGATCCTTCATTTAATTTCTGAATTGCACTTCCCAGATCTCTCTGTAGAAGCAGAAAATGCAAGTTTATAGATAAAATTTTTTTATTTTTAGGCATCACATCCTTACAAGGGAAGAAATGTTTATTCTGTTAGTACTGTAAGTACTAACAGTTGAAACTAACAGCCTTACAGGAACATTCAACTTTTGAACTTCAAACCATGCATTATTACAGTAGTAATATAATCTTCTTCAATTAGAACAAATATCTCTGCAGTTTTGTTTCCTTGTTAGAGTTGGATCTTTAAGTTCACAATTTTTTACTATTGTTTAATACATACTTCACCTTATGGGATGAGAATTTTATGATAGTTGGTATCAAACTGTTTTATGTCTTAGAAAGAAGTTCAAAGGTTAATCCATGTACTAAAGTTTTTTGCTTTTTTCCAAAATGTTAATTCTACAGTAAATTAGAAAATGACATCATCAGGTTTGTTTACAAACAAGTTTCTGTGTTGACAGCAACCGAACCAGTTTAATTTACATAGTTAACTATATTCTACATTCTAATAACACATATTCCTCACTTAAAGAAAATCAAATTTAAAAGCAGTTTATAAAGACAAATAAAGAATCTTTTAATTACAATTTCAAGGAATCAGATAAACTATATTTACAAATAATCCTAACTTTAAAAAACTGGACCTGCACTTCTTTACTGAGACTTAACTTACAAATTCTTTAGAAATAAATTTGAATTGGTAACACCATTTCTCCTCAAACTGTAAGCTGTTCATTTATATTACTACTGTCAATTTGATGTTAAGGAATTGTAACGTAATCTTATAAACTACATCTACCATGCTAAGAGGTCTAATTTTCTGAAACATATTGCACAAACACACATTTTTTGAAATGCTACAATATACAAGAGAAACTAGTACCTGTTTGTGCCTGTAAGTCTCCTGCTCAGTGACCATTTGTTTCGTCCAGTGGGCTACTTCTTCTCTCAACACCTTTGACACTAAACTTGGGATCGCTTCTGTAGTTATCTATGTAAATGTTTACAAAAAAAAGAATCAGAAATACTGTACAAAGTAGTTATGTATAATAATTTAACAGAAAATATCAATACATGCTCAGGAAACTTTTATTAGGCCACTGTCTACCCTATTTCCTTATAGAAGCTCATAACCAGTTATATCTTCCATCAGATATAATTCCTTATGTGACAGATAATAAGAACTAAGCTTATTCATTATGAATTCTGTATATTACTTTTAGCTGAAATCCTTAAGCATCCTACTTGAAAAACAGAGATTTTGTCATTAAATTTCAAGATTTTAAATATTCAACAGTATTATGCATGGACACTTGAAGAACAAAATTTTTGTAGATGTATAACTGTGCATACTTGTTGGTCAGATGTCTTCAACTCTCTTTTTGGCCACATAAAGGACATACTGGATGATAAGGATGACAGAATACCAAGTGGACCAGATATCATATGTACCTCCTCTCCTTGCTTGGAGCCTGAAGGAGCCACCATGTCACAAGGAATGATAACAGGAAATAGCATAGAGAGGGAAGTGACACAGTTCAATAAAACATGCAAATATTAAGTTTAAAACGTGAGAAAAGCAGCAACAGATACATACATAACGAGTGCTTTTTAGCTATCTCAGGTTTATATCCTGTCATCATATTAGTAACTTACATAAAAAAGCATTGATTAATTCAGCCAATCCTCAAGAAATATTTGTAATCATTGGTAACTAAAATATTTTTAAACATTTGTTGGAAACAAAATAGATAAGTACTCCACAAGTTACATAACCAAACATTTTTCATTTAAAAGTATCAGCTGAAGCTTCAATTGCGAAAGTTTCACATTAAAACTTTGCCTTGATTAAGTTAAGTGTGATTCTTTAACACACGTGGGAGTAAAAATAAATCCTAGCCTACCATATGTCTCACAGTAATCACAAAAATATAATAAATACTTGATAATGTTGATTACATTGATATACTTCTTCACAAATCTAAATGTTAGGTACTTATTATCATCAGAAGTTTAATGATATCCATGATACATGTAATTAAAACATGACTTATAGTACAACTATTTTCAGAAACCTGCTCAAAAATCACCTCACCAAAATAAACAAACATTATATTCTTCTCACTAAGGGTATTGGAAAAGAACAATATCATTTTAAAATTAAACAATTTAAAACTAACATAACTTCAGCCTACATTATCTATTCAATTTTATTTTTAATACTTCTAGTGTGTGCATAAACTAAATCTGTCCCTTGAACTTTCATATCCAAACTAACTAAAAACAAAAATGCACACAGCCACAAACCAAAATGTTCTACATAAAAATATGCCCTTTAGTGTGTCACAAAAATGTATCAGAAATGGAGAATATGTAAATTCTAGTAATGTTCAACAGAACAATTCCAAACAAATGCAACAACTCTTTAGACCCCAACAAGATTAGTTCCACCATCAGTCTACAGCAGGGTAATTCATTTGTCTATGCTCCAAGTGGTTGTAAACTGACAGTTTTGTAATTGTATCAACAACACAAGGTAACAGATGTCACTAGTTCCACCATCAGTCTACGACAGGTTAATACACTTGTCTATGCTCCAAGTGTTTGTTAACTGGCAGTTTTCAATTTTATCAACAATATAATGTAACAGATGTCACTAGTTACACCATCAGTCTACGACAGGTTAATACCCTTGTCTGTGCTCCAAGTGTTTGTTAACTGGCAGTTTTTTAATTGTATCAACAACACAAGGTAACAGATGTCACTAGTTCCACCATCAGTCTATGACAGGTTGATACACTTCTCTATGCTCCAAGTGTTTGTTAACTGGCAGTTTTTTAATTGTATCAACAATATGATGTAACAGATGTCACTAGTTACACCATCAGTCTACGACAGGTTGATACACTTCTCTATGCTCCAAGTGTTTGTTAACTGGCAGTTTTTTAATTGTATCAACAATATGATGTAACAGATGTCACTAGTTCCACCATCAGTCTACGACAGGTTAATACACTTGTC